CTTGTAGAAAATGCAAGGTAATCTGCAGAAATCTATGGAAAGAGATTAGTGTGTGTTGGGGGAAGCTACTGGAGGAGAGGGACTTGGAGGGATTTCAAAGGGGCATGAAGGAATGGGGTGATGAATGTGTTCACTATCTCAATGTGGGTCTGGTTTGACATGTGTACATCCGTCAAAATTTAGCTAATTGTACACTTTAAATTTGTGCAATTTATTGTATGTTAACTATGTCTCAATTTTAAAACACTTTGTTCATACATGCTCTTCTATGGGACTATTTCATACCTTGTCTTTCTTTTGACCCATGACTTTTATTCCTATTTCACTAAGACAGCAGCGATCACAAGAGAACTTTCACAAGTTCATACCAGCACACCTACCCTCTGACCTGTACCTATGGTCACCAGTTAACTGAGCTCCCATCCAAAGCGCTGTTTGCGGGGCCATGTCACAGCTGTGCAGGCTGTGCACATCCCTCCAGAGCGCGCCTGCCTTTTGTGCAGACCACAGTGTGAGAGGGGCCCCTGAGCCCAGCTCTGTAACTCGAGGGCCCTGCCCACCCTCCACTGGCTCAGCAGATTGCACATGCTCTTCCTGCCAAGTGGACTGCCCTGCAGTTCTACCCTTCTGCATCAGAAAGGTTTTTTCTCTGTTAGGTCATTCCTGTCACCATTCACACATTGCTTTGATTTCTTCCACTAAATAAAAAAATCTTCACCCTGCTTTCTTGTTCACCTACTCTGTTTCACTTTCCTTTTCAGCAAATGCCTTCCAAGAGTTATCTGTACTTACTGTTTCCAATTTTTCTGCTCCTATTCTCTTCCAACTCTGTTCCCATCAGGTGTCTGCTCCCACTATTTCACGGGAATTTCTCTTGTGAAGTCACCAATGACCACTGCTAAATTTTGTGGTTAAGTCTCATCTTTCTTTCTCATCTGATATGTTTGATTCCTCTCTCCAATGAAACCATTTCCCTTGGCTGCCAGCACTCTGCACTCTCCTAATTTTCTTCCTACTGGTCTGGGCTCTCCTTTTAACCTTTGCTGGCTCTGTCTTGTCTTCCAACTGTTACAGGGCCCCAGGGCTCAGTTTGGAACCTCTGTTCTATCTACACCTGTTGACTTGGAGATCTCACTTGTCTCATGGTTTAAATATCTATATGTTGATAACTCCTAGGTATGTGTGTATGTGTATATATATATCTCCATTTCATCTTCCCCGAACTCCAAACACATATGCAACCGCCTATGTGGACATCTTCCAGACATCCCAAACTTAGGTCCAAAACACAACTTGTGATCCCTCTACCCCAAATCTGCCATTTTCTTAAACTTCCCCCTTTCAATTGGCAAGCAATTGGATGGATTAAAGGTGCTAAATCAAAAATGTTGGAAACACATGGGCACTTCTTTTTCTCACACATTCCATATCCAGTCTGACAGCGAATCGTTTGAAAATCAATCTGGTGTCTGGCTGCTTTGCACTACCTCCACGGCTGCTATCCTGGTGCACAGCACCATTACCTCACTCCTGCCCATACGAATGCTGTTTCTTCTGAGCTCCCTGCCTCTGCCCTCGCCTTCTCTTCTTTTTTCCATTCACTTTCAACACTGAAATCAGAGTGTTCCTGTTGAGACCTAAGTCAGATTACATCGACCCTCTACTTGTTGGAGTGAGCAGGACTGAAGGCATGCTGGGACCTAAAACCACAGGGGCTCTAAAAGATTTTGAGGACACAGTTTTTTTCTTGGCATGCATTTCTCTGAGTTCCCTCTTACCATGGTTATTTGATATTTTGGACCTTGACTATGGGGTAAGATGATCTTATTTACATGAATGTAAAGTTGTTTTCCAGTCAGCCTGGAGCTGTAGACTTGCACATACTATCCAGACCCTGAGAAACCAAGGAAGACACCCCTTCAGCAGGACCCTGAGATAACAGCAAGGATGAGAGAAGAAACCTGATGGAGTCTTGGTGAGACCTTGCACCTGGCTCCTTGCACAGAGCCCCCACAGCTCACGTCCCCACCTCCTGCCTTTCATTTTCCATGTTCCATTCTCTCAACCCCCTCTTTAAAAAAAACCCCTCAGTAAATCTGAGTCTTTGATGCGGCTTTAGTCTGGCCACTCTCCTTCAGGTTTACTGGAGAGATGGGTTAGCCTGATGTCTCTCTTCAGGTCACTGGTATTTCTGAATAAAAGCTGACTTAACATTTTCACCAACATTTGGCTTTTGAGTGGTTTGTTTTTGAAAGGGAGCAGGCAGCCGGACCTGCTCCACTGGGTTCCGTCACACTCAAAGTCTACAACAGCCTTCAATGCTGGGCAAGACATGTGGCACCCTTTTCCTCCCCTCTCTGACCCTGTCCCCCTGTGTTCACTCTGCTCCAGGTGGCCTCCATGCTTACAGAACAGGTCAGGCCTCAGGGCCTTTGCACTAACTGTTTGTCATGCTCAAATGTTCTTCATTCATGCTCCCCCCAACCTCCTCATTTCTTTACTGAGTGCCATTCTCAGTGAAGCTTATCCAAAATTGTAGTTATGGGGCATTCCTGTCTCATCTCCCTGCTGTACTTTTCTCTTTCAAACTTTTGAACATACTGTACAGTTTACCTTTTTTGTCTTTGCTTTTTTTCTCTACTTGAATGTAAGTCCCAGAGATTTTTTTTTTTAACTGAATTACTACTGTAAGTCCTAGAATCTAGAGCAGTCCCTGGCACATATTTGGTATTCAATTAAGTATTGCTGATAAAGTAAATAAATGATAAATTCAGAACCAAATAATGTGTATATGGCTAAAATAAAACCTGAAAGGCCTTTCCATTCTCCACAGGTAACTGCTGTTGATAGTTTAATGTATGCTTCCAGACTGTGCTATGCATAAATAAATATAACATTCACAGAATCGTTTGTCACGATAAACGTGTCATGCTACACAGATTGTTCAACAGTGCGTTTTCTTACACTTTATATTTCATGGATATCTTTTCAAATCAGTAAATAAGTAGTTTTTTCTTTTTTTTCTGGATGCATTGTATTCGATTGTGTGGATAGACCATGATTTCAATTTTCTGAAAGACAATTAGGTAACCCACTTAATTATATGCTATAGTTAACATTTTTGTCCGTATTTTAATACTCGGGCTAGTATTTCAGTACGATAAATTCCTAGAAGATTGCTAAGCCATCAAAAAGTTTTATAGTTCTGAATTTAGCCCCCAAAACGTACTAATTAACACTCCTACCAACTGTATAAGAATCCTTTTTTTTTTCTCGTGACCGTCATCAACTTTTAATAGTGACTATTTTCAGTTCTTGCCAGTGCTATTAATTTGGAAATATGTGTGTGTGTATTCATTTGGAGTGTGTGTAGACCAAAAGGAAAAGATGGAATAGGGCAGATTCCTCTCCCCTTGAGGGAGGGCTCGTCCTAGTTCTCCATCCTCCTGTCTGGAGGTGAGCCAGAGCAGGTGGTCTCAGGGCCTCATACCTGCAGTGTGGGTGTGCACGGCAACCGCAGCAGCCAGCCAGGGGACCCCGCAACGAAGGTGCACACCCAGGTCCACACCCACTAGGATCGGTTTCTCCTGCCTTTCGACCCAAAGCCGTTTCATCAGAAGACGTGGCTTATCTCCTCATAGACCCCATCAGGTCGGCTCAGATCCTAACTTACTTAGGAAAACAAGGTAAGCAGAATCTTGCTTTAGCTGGTAAATGCCCACCGTTTAAACTCCGGGTGGCTTTTGAACTGGGAGGCCTGAAGAACAAGCGTTCACTAAGGGATGGACTCGGCAGTGGGGACAGCAGGTCCCAGGGCGCCAGGCCGGCGACCTCAGGGCCCCGCGCACGAGGGACCAGGCAGCCAAGGGAGGCGGCCGACCACTCGGGGCTCGCGCGCGCCTCGCCCACAGGGCTCACGCAGCCAGGGCCAAGGGAAGAGGACGTTCTTTGTGAACTCGGCTGTGGGAAACATTTGGCTCCCGCGGATATAAATCTCCGGTTAGCGGTCACGGGTTTCCGGAACGAGACTGCGCAAGCGCATGGCCTCGTCCCTTCCCCCCCAGGCGTGTGCGCGTGC